ACATGCAATCTTCCCTCTTCTTGAAAAATTTCCATACCTAGATAGTTTAACGATGAAAATACTTTCACATCGAATTCACCATTCAAATATTTAATGAATTGCTCAGATGAATCTTTTGATTCTGTCGCAATTATTCCATCATCTATATAGATTGCCAAAATAATCTTCTTGCCGTTTTCACCAATGAAAACACAAGGATCTGAATCACTCATTTTCAAATTAAATTTTATTAACATTTCGGTGAAACGCCTGTTCCAACACCTGGAAGATTGTTTTAATCCGTAGATGCTTTTCTTTAACTTGCATACTTTATCACTGCCATCATGGTAACCTGGTGGTTGCTGCATAAAAATCTCTTCATCCAAATTCCCATATAGAAAAGCAGTTTTTATGTCAAATTGAATTAGATTATAATTCAAAGACGCACTAATGGCCAAAATCATTCTTATGGAAGTAAATTTAGCAACGGGACTGAAAGTTTCCTCATAGTCAATTCCATATTTTTGAGTGAAACCCCTTGCAACTAATCTTGCTTTATACCGTTCTATTACACCCATTTGATTTCTTTTAAGTTTGTAAACCCATTTGTTAGTAATCGGCGTCTTGCCTTCAGGTAGCTCAACTAAACTCCACGTATCGTTTTCAACTAGAGACGTAAATTCTTCATCCATGGCTTTCTTCCACTGCTTACTAACATCGCTATTTATAGCTTCTTCATAATTTTGGGGTTCGTCAGTAAGGTACATACAGTAGTTCGCGTCATTATTAATTGGACTTACCATTGATCGCAAAAAATATCTATTGTTGGCTACTCGACCAGGGATTTCTTCATCTGCCCTGGTAGTATTTTTATTTTCCAAATTGCTTTCAGGTTCATTTTCCGCATCCTTAAATTCTTCATTAGATTCTGAAGAACTTCCCTCAGAGTCAGTTCTTTCCTTGATATTATCTACCATTGAAATTGTTTCTGAATCCTCTTTTATAATAACATTTCTCGCTATTTCAATTCTATTTTCTTGAGGAATCCAAATTCGATATCCTTTGCAATTATCTTGGTATCCAACAAATATGCCTTTCTTTGATTTGGCATCCCACTTCTTGCGTTTTTCGTCAGGTACATGAACAAAAGCTTCTGAACCAAAAACATGTAGCGACGATATATCTGCCTTTTTACGAAACCATAGCTCATAAGGACATATTCCTTCATGTGGGCTTTTTCCTGTTCTATTCAGTGTATATACTACATTATTTACAGCTTCTGCCCAATATCGTAAGCTTAATTCTTTAGCATATACCATAGATCTGCCCAGCTCGATAACAGTTCTCATGTCTCGTTCAGCTCTCCCGTTATGCTCAGGAGTGTAAGGTGTTGATTTCTGGTGTGATATTTTATGTTTACGAAAAATTGAACACACCTCCTTATTACAGTACTCTGAACCATTATCAGAACGCACTACTTTCACCTTCGCGCCAGTTTCAGTTTCCACAATATCTATATATTTACTAATTACTTCAGGAACTTCAGATTTGGCTTTAACACAAAATACGTGCCGATAATTCGAGTAATCATCGCGAAATAGAACCATATATCTTGATCCGCCAAAAGACACTTCCTGCATCGGACCGCACACGTCTGTATGGACTAAATCACCAACTTTATCGGCTCTGTTTTTGCTCTCCAAAAATGGCAATCTTGTTTGCTTACCCATTAAACAGCCTTCACAAGTTGTATAGTTACCTGTATATTTTATTTTCTTCTGATCCAAAACTTCTTTTACATGGAGCTTGTTTTGATGGCACATGCGCTCATGCCAAATTTTGAGAGATTTTTCTGAAACTGCCGTATTTGCTTGTTCAAATGAATTTACTGCTACCTTCAACACTAATTTAAAAAGTTTTGAATTTTCCCGAACTCCTTTAAGGAATGTTTGCCCATCACGTTTGAATACACAATAATCTGCTTCAGCTTCCATTACATACCCCTTATCTAGACAAACACTTGTTGAGAACAGATTTAGCTTAATATCCGGTACATAAAGAACATTTGACAAATACTTTGACCGCCACATTTTACCATCAAATGCTTCCACATATATGTCTCCGAATCCGTAGGCGAGAATAATGGCTCCATTTCCTACCCTAATTCTCCTCGGCTGTTTAAAAATTTTGTAATCCGTGAACCACTCTCTCCTGTTGCACATGTGGTCACTAGCACCCGAGTCGACATACCAACCTTCATCTTTTAATGTTGTCGATTCTAGGAATATTTGTTCTCCGATAAAAGCATCACCATTTTTCTTGAATTTCTTTTCAGACTTCATTGTACATTCACGTTTCCAGTGCCCAAATTCTCCGCATTTAAAGCATTTTCCCTTTGAACTTTGATTGGTCTGTTTCTTATTAGTGTTCGTTAACTTTCTTTGAGTTTTTCCTTTTGCCAGAAAAGCTTCAGAGTTTGATGGTCGAATGCCTAATCTCGTCTCTTCCATAGACAATCTTGATGTTAAATTTTTCAATGTTCGTTCTTCCCTGGCAGTTGCTTCCCAAGACGCAAAGAAATGATTGTATTCGCCTGGCAATGTCATCAAAATTTTTGTTATTAACATGTTTTCCGAAATTTTATCACCCAGATCCTCTAGTTGTTTTGCCATTTTCTGTAATTTGGAAATATGAACAGCGATACTATCTTCTGGAGATTTTACATATTGGAAAAATTGCTGTTGTAAAAGATGTATAGACGTTTCAGATTTTTGTTCATACACACTTTCCAGAAATGTCCACATTTCCGCAGCTGTATCACAATTCATGATATGAAGCATTGGTTCTTCGCCCATTGATATTACTAAAATTCGTTGAGCTTTAGCATCTGCAGAAAGCCATTCTTGCAATTCCCTGCCAGATGTATTAGGTTTCTTTGCAGTTCCATTTGCGATATTCCAAAGGCCACCCGCACGAAGCACAACCCTTACTTGAAACTTCCAAAGAGTCCATCCTTCAGAACCTTCTAGCTTAGATATCTTAAATTCCTCCATTGTGATGTCCGTTGTTGTAATTTTCAGTAGTCCAAACTCTTTCCCGTTATGGCTCTGGGCCCATAACCTGTTAGCAGAGTAAATGAAACGACCAGCAGTTCTGATGGAACAATAGCAACTAACTAAAATTATGTATTTATTGAAAATTTCTAATAACAAAATTCATAGCATGTTGAGCAAATTACAAAACTAAAAACAACAAGTTCTACATTCTTGAGTGAATATTTTGTCATAAACTGGATTTTCTACAAATCCAAGCAAGTGTGTCAAATTAGCATAAAATCGGTTCAGATACAGCTATAGCTTCCATATATATTGTTCATCCGATTTGGTATTTTTCAAAGATATTCGGGAAATGTATCAAATGCAGCTCAGAAATACCTTTGCAAAATTAATTGAGATCGGTTCAGATTTGGATAAAGCTCCCATACATATCTTTATCCGATTTCAGGTTTAACAATGGGTGATGTCCGTCCAAATGAAATAGATTAGGGCTCATACGAACGTATTTAAAGGAAGAGGGTGTTCAAATTTGGTGAAAATCGGTTCAGATATTCCTATAGGTCATATATATATTAATATCCGATTTTGTATTTTAGTCCCTCACATCCGTTAAAAAAAATTAACTGGCTGTGAAGGGTCTAACCTCTCCTTACAAACGAAAACAATGTGATTTCGTCTAAACATCAGACATCATAATTATTGTATCAGACTTAGATTAGGCGTAAAAATGTACAATATCGATTACACTTACGGTACCGGTCGAAATTATTATTACCAACACTAAATAAAATTCTATAAAACTGAAGTTAAAATTTAAACTAGTTTTTCGAAACGTTGTTCATCGATATGTTATTCGTGGAAGCTAATCCTAACTTTACAGAAGAGGGAAGAATGATTTTTATCCTACTTGTTATTTTTTTTTTTTAATTATATTCTCCACCATTCTATGGAGAGTATATTAGCTTTGTCATTCCATTTATAACTGCTCGAAATATTCGCGATAGACCCTACAAAGTACATATATTCTGGGTCAGCGTAAAATTCTAAGACGATTTAGCGATGTCCGTCTGTCTGTGTGTCTGTCTGCCGGTCTGTCTGTTCTAATCACGCTATCTTTCGAACGAATTGATATATAAATATATATAATATACACATGTATATTTTCCAGTAGGCAGGTTAAGTTCGTAAATTGGCCAAGTCGGTCCACATTTTTGTATAGCCTCCATATAACGGTACCTGCCGATATTCAAATTTCGTATTCGAAGTTTGTAATTGGTACTACGGTCTAGGTCTATATAAAAAAAATCCTATGCATCTTCCCGTTTTCGGATAGCCCTCATATAACAGTAAATCCCATTATTCGGTATTTTGATGATTTTAGCGACATTATTGGCCGGAATTGTTTCAAATTTCGTGTTTGAATATCTTAATGGGTACTACAGCCTTTGACAAAAATTACTTATTCAGGTCCACGACTTTGTATATCCCCCTATAAAGGCCAGTACATGATATTTTTCGGAATCCGTTGACATTTTTCTAGTTCCTTTTAAATGGTGGAGGGTATTAAAAGTTCGGACCGGTCGAACTTAGTTGCTGCTTTACTTGTTTTTTATCGTTGGTGTCTCTCTGTAATTAAGTAACGGTATGGACGTTTTTGGGCTACTGATTCGGTGGAAACCCCTCAAACTAAACATATACCCCTACGGAGAGGGAAATTTGTCGTATATTTTACAAAACTTTACGATATAGAATACAATACGTTCTTGCTTGACTCATATGGCAGAACCAAATTATGTTGATTTTGAAAGCGTGGAAATTTCGTTTTAAAATAATTTTAGTTTTAAAAATGTTGTTATTCTCAAATTGAATGCACAAAATACCTAGTATCAATCAATCAGTGTACCAAACGAAGTTCCAATTCCAAATATAATTCGATTTTCAGAATAAGAGAAAAAATACCCTTACATTTAATTCATCGCCACAGAAGGTGGCCTCATCAATCGAGAACTGCAGGTCTTCCGCTTTCTTGCGTTCCTCGCTCAATTGGCGTTCCAACAGAGCTATTCGCGTTTTCAACTAAGCCCCCAAGTGTCCAAAGAATGTTTGCATGCGGAAGAAGAAACGAGAAAATGAAGGAGATGAGATTAATAGCAGATTAATAAAACTACAAAAAACGGCAACATTTTGTGCATTTTTCTCATATTGATTATATTTATTTTTGTTGTTTTAATAATATAGATACAAATACATACATACAATGATATTGATAACATTTACAAATACAAAAGTAATATAGTTAATTTCTAGTTATAACAAAAGCAATAAAATTCGCTTAGATCGTGGTGTGCATAAATGATTGTTGTTTGTTTTGTTTTTGTCGTTTTTTGGGTGATGGCTCTCCATCCATCCGTCCGTCCGTCCGATGATACTGGCATAGCCGGGCGGACAGTAACAAAATAAAATAGTAATGAAAAATATATAATAATAAAAAAAACAAATGGTCTTAATTTACATTCTTTCTGAAAAAAAGAAAAAATTAATAAAAGGGGGAAGAGAGGAAAACATTTTTGGGCTTTTTCCAGGTTTCCTTCATTCGTTAAATGGTCGAGGAATTTGGATTTTTGGCATAAAATATAAGCTTTAGATTTTCACGGAATTTTTGTTTTCGAAAAAACTAGGTGGATACATTTTTTTTAAATAAATCTGCATGTGAAGATCATTAGTTTGTTGCTGTTGGTGTTTTTTGTTGTTGTCATCATCGATCTTGTTTGAGCACTAGGCGTAGAAAAAATCAAGAGGTACAGATTGGTCTACTTCGTCAGCACATATTTCATTCTCAGTTGTGTATATGTGTGTGCGCGTGTGAGTGAGTGTGATTTGTAGGACAATTATTATTCTCTTTGATATACGTTTCGGACAAAACCATGTCCACCATCGTCGTTTTGTTGTAGGAAAAGGACAAGCATTGCGATTGTCTTTCTATGTGTCTTCATAGATCATCTGCGAGGCAACTGTTTACTTAATGCGTAAAGGAGACAGTACACTATGAAGGATGCAGTGCTTCTCGTGGTTGCCAGTCCAGCCGCGGAATTCCCGACGCAGATCGGCCAAACGGAAGCTACGGCGTGCGATAAGTCTCACCCAACGATCGGCGTCGCTAAGCAATTTCTAAAGAAGATTTGACAAAAAATGTGAACTTGTAACCAATTGAGAAATGAGGCAAAACAAAAGAAGAAAATTTGGTCGGTTTGGTTGAAACAGCATAAAATAAAAAAAGAGAGGGCAATCACATAAATGCCATCGTACATACATACATACACAGGTTTGCTGTTTTAGCTAAAAAGGATGAAAGTTTTTGAAATTTTCAAGTTGATGGAATAATAATAAATTCAATAGATTTTTTACAGAAAAGAAAAACGGTCGCTTTTCCGTTTTAGAGAGTCAACAATTGTGTCTTGAGGGACTTTTATTTTAAAATCGATTTAAAATTGAATTATTTTGTTGGATCCTAAATAAAACTGTTCTATGAAATAACAGTAATTTTGATTGAAATATGAAGAAAACGCATACATAAAATATAAAAATTATTTAAATCATTTGAAGAAAAATGAGTTACATAACTTTAAATGTCGACTAAAACAACGAACTAACAAACAAACGTTGCGTTATGGTCATCTAATTTAACTCCTATTTCTGCACCCGATACTCTCAGAATAGACTAATTTTTGCTAATCTGAATTTGCTCCACAGTGAAATTTGGATTTAATTGCTTTATCGTTTAACAATTTCAAATTGTTTCAAAGTTTTGAAATTTACAATATCCAGCTTCTGTTTACACTCCGAATGCATACGTTTTCACACTCGGTTGAAGGTAGCAACAATTGGTGTGTTTTTTTTCTGTCGGCATCGAAAATAATTCAAACGAGAATTCAACCAATACATAGAAACAATGACAAATAGATGGGCCCAAGTAAATGTGCACTAATAAATGAAATGACTCATCCGTCAGCACTTTTAGACAGGGGAAATTACAAATATCATCAGGTGGAAAATTTTTAACACATGGCTATTTTAATATTCAAACAAATGACCTTGAATACAATTTCAGCTATTTAAATATGAAATTTTGCCCATTGAACAATTGCTCAAAGCTATCACGAACTGTTGGGAAATGGAATTTCATTATGAAGTTTTTCTCACAATAGAAAATTTACAACTCATAGGTATGTTAGCTTTAGGGTAGATCAATTTAGGCAGATCAACAAAAAAATAAGAACTAAAGTGAACCATGATAACGAGATTCTGTTTCCTGTTTCGTACTGTTTATATTATTATCAGGAATATTTATACTCCTAAAATTCTGCAAAAGTGAAATTATAAAATTCTTTTGATAGTCCTTCTGATAGTTTTCCAATTCCTGCCGGTAAATTGTCTTTCTTCGACAATTAACCGTTTTTTAATTATTTGATCCGTTTGATCCGATACAATGGATTCGTAACTTACACGGCTTTATTTTATATAGGACAAAAAACGCCCACATATCCCAATGGAACAATGAGGGTGTAGGGAAAACCACAAAAATCCAATGAGATAAAAACGAAGAATCTTTTATTGCTAGGGAAAAGTAGATCAGTGAGGTAACAGGCATCCTTACAGGGAACCTGGGCCTACAAGCTCATCTGTACAAGATAGGATGTGCAGATAACAGCATATGCAGGGCATGCAGATGACGAAACATTGGACAATTTTCTCTGCCAATGCCCAGCGTTTGCAAATATTAGACCCCAATTCTTGGGGAACGACTCCATACCAGACCTTAATCACATCATGGTAAATGATATAAAACAGTTAAGAAATTTCATAAAGGCAACCGAATTTTAAATATAACAGACTGTAAACTGCCCGTCTTCTTTCGAAAAAATCCTTAGTCTACAGCACACAACAGGTCTTACTGGCTTAAGTGTATGTCCAACAGGGCATGCGGTGAATTGCCCCTCTTTTCAACCTAACCTAACCTTATTTTATATATATAAATTATGGCGCCTAATGGTAGTATAAAAATAAATACTAAAAAATATAGACTTAAAAATAGAAGATAAATGTATCAGCGTTTTGAAAATTTACATCATAAAATAACCTAAATAGAGTAAATGTTCACCCCTCTTTCATTTTTTTTAAATACTCGGATTAAGAGTCCTTGGATCCGCTGAATTTTAGATATATGTATTATGTCATCGGCAATATTGCTGATAACAATGATAGGATTATTTTGATCTAACATTTTAATCTTCAAGCGAGTCAGCAATACGGGGCGGGGGAGAGGATATGAGTGGTAGAAGATTTCAAATTCCTGAAGTTAATTTTTTTTCGACAAGCAATGTTTTTTTTTTTTTAATAATCGTTTGATTTGTTTCTTGTTCATGCTTTGTGTTTTGATTTGGCAAATCAGCTGATTGCTGGAAGATGCTCTCAGGGTGCATCTATTTACTTTTTAGAGAAAAATGCTACCTTAATTTCTAAAAAAAGCATTTGATGCGCGTTTCAGATGTGAAACGCTTAAACTTCGTGTTTTAAATAATTTATATGTAATATTTTTTAATAAAAAATGTACACAATATTGTTGTCGTGTGATTGCTGAGAGCAATTGGAGAAAGAGAGGGTGAGAGAGAGAGCAGTTGAGTAACTAAGACTTTATTAGTTCTTACTTTGATCAGCCGAATTTTAAGCAGTATTCTAAATTGAATATTTGAATTATTTTTCAGATAATATGCATTCTCCACTATTTTTACAACATGCCTCATATGTAAGCAAAAAAAATCTACTTCGGTTTTCTCATATTATCAAAATGAGACGGACATATTTTGGATAACAGCAGCAGCACACCTGTCCGGGAAAATAATCATTTAAGACATTTTTGTATTTGTATTTAATTTTTTCTTAAAACAATATTAAACCTGTAGAGGGATTCTGTAACACATTTTTTGAGTTACCGACAAATATCGGTAGAATTGAAATGCAAAATTTTGAATGAAAAGAGATTTTGATAATAAAGTTGACAGCACTGTTGCTATCAATAGGAGTTAGCGACTATTTTTTTTTGGTCGCTACCTTGACAACATTTTTCTTTAATATTGAAAGTATAAGCATTTCAATTTTAACGATTTTTGTCGGTAACTTAAAACATACCTTTTATTTTGTAGTTTGGACAAAACGTATTGTAAATATGTGTGACCCATGAATTTAAAAGTGCAGAGTCGAATGCTTGATGCCTCCACAAAAAATCTGAGCTTTTTAAATTTTTTTCGTTCTTTCTCGAATTTTGTTAACTCAAATCAAATGCATAGCGCGTCAATTGGTGACCTCCTAGTCATTGGCATTTCCAGTTGAAATCTTCCCAGACATATAAGGATTTCGTGTTTACTCCTTTAGGAAAACAGGGTGAACATTAAAAAGAAGTAGATCAAAAGTTTGAACCTGATACCTTGGAATTTAGTTCAAGGCTTGAAATCCCTAGACAATCCGGATATATCCTCAATTATATTACCACCATTGATTCAGCCTAATCTTGATAAGAAATAAAATTCAACAATGTCGAATGGAAACAATTCACTTTATTCGAAGAATTACAATTACCAAATCATTGTTCGGCATTACAAACAAAACTCATATGCAATTAACTTAACACATGCAATTAACAATTATGTTAATTAGATTGTTGTTGTTATTGGTGTATGTGTGCTTATGTAGATGGTGTTAGCATCATTGAATTAGTAAATGAATAAAACACAACAACAAATTTAATTAATTATTTAAAGTGAGGAAATTATTTGTGTACGAAAGAGAAAAATTAATAAAGACAGAGGAGTTCGAAATACTGCAATCCTTGGATGTTGTTAGACTAACGTTTTGAATAATATTTTTTTGGGAAATCATAAAATATGAACTTGATGGGAATATTTCATACTGGAGAATGTTTGTAAAAAGAAAGTTAGTTTGATTCACCAATTATTTGCTATTCAGTCTGCAGAAAAACTTAGGTGGTCTGCAAAATTTCTAATCCAATTAAAAAAGTGAAAAAGTCAAGATTTTGTGAAATTATGCAAAATGTGAAAAAGAATAGAGAACAAGTATTGTGTCGGTATGTAATGGGAAGTTCGACACATCAAAATCATAGGCTAGAACAGTGCTGCTCAAAACATTAGCTACCGCATATTATTTGAATTGTAATACCAATGGATTGGAACATTACCACTTGACCAATAGAAATTCAGTTCCGATGCCGTTGTATATGTAACTGTTTTGTATTGCCAGCCAATATCAGCTGTAAATGTTTTAAGCCGCCAAACTATTCGAAGTGAAAAAATATTAGCAGTAAGATACATAAACATAAAATGATCCCACATTGTCCTTTGTGTCGTCAAGGTTATATTCGGTGTGAATGTGTACGTATGTATGTATGTATGATGGAAATGCCTCATGGAGAAAACACCTTAGAGGTAGGTGCAATTTAATTGTGGTATTTGCCAGGTGATGGATCGATCTTCATCGAATAACGTTTGAAGTCATTCAACACAAATCGCTATCACGCTTTAAATTAGAATACAAGAACACAAAACGAAAGAAAACAAAAAACTGAGAACGGAATTAACAAATCTTAAAATAATGTTTTCGTTGACAAGCCACGTGGAAAATAAAGTCTCTCTTTGTCGCTAAACCAAACTTTCTTTTTCGTTGCCACCGGTGATGAGGTCAAGGAACGCGAGGGCGAACGTTCGACCAATGTTGTGTTCTTTGAAATCGGTGCTGGCTGTTGTTTCGTGGAGAGCACACCGAACGGACGCCGCATTGCCATCAGGGACGATGGTGTCGGTGGTGGATATGTTATATCACTGAATATATTTACCTCATTGATATTCTTCTGGTACTGGAATGCCTGATTCTGTGAATCCTCACGATCCAAGTCGCGTTCGATCATCAATTGTTCAATGTGTTGTTGTTTCTCGCGCAAAATATCCTATAAAGAGTATATATTTAAAGAATAGGGGAAAAGTAGAATTGTAGAAATGTATACACGTAGGGTACAACAAAATTAAAGTTTTTTTATTCGATATATTCCATTATAACCCCAACAATATTATCAAAACCAAAATAAAAATCAAAACTTTGAAATATGCAGATAGTTTTGTATGAGGGCTTATTCTCTATGCAGAAAGTGAATGGTCAAAATACCAGAAAGCGTGCTTTTGGCTCGTTCTTTTAACAAAAAATTAACATGCTTCCAAAAAAAAAAAAAAAAAAAACAAAAAAAAAAATGAAAATGGATATTCAAAAAACTTTGTGAATTTAAGATTCTTTGGACCACTTGAAAAACTAAAATTTTTACTACTACAATTGTATTACATTATCTCTCGAACACGGCTGCCTCATTTTTGAGTCTTTATCTGATGACACTTTGATTTCAAATTTCGCATCTCCAAAGTACCATGAAAATGCAAAAATAAAAAAAGCGCTAACAGCCCCTTAGAAAGGTTAATAGATGTATACATGCAATACAATGGATACAATGCCATTAATTGAAGTCGGTTTAATTTAGCTTTTGCCAACATCGAAAAATTAAACTCAATTTGAGGACCTCGTGATACCCTACTACAATATTATGGTAAAAGTTATGTACATGTAATGCCCTTGAAATAGAGTGAACGAATTCCTTAAGATATTGGGATACACAATTGAACTACATTAAAAACCATTACAAAAAATAATGTTCGTCATGAGAATATTGATTTGTAGGGTTTGCACGCGATATTTCCAAATTAAGACCAGTAAGGAATAGTCAAAAGTCGGTCGGGGTCGACTAAATGATACCCTACACCACTATGCATATTTAGTAGAGCTCCCGTAACAAAAGAATTTATTTCAAGTAGATCATACCACCTGTCAACATTTGGCTTTAGAACAGTTATAGTGCACTCCATAGCACGATATAATAAAAATATATATATCGGAGCCAAGTTGCTCCAAATGGAAACGTACGTCCCGAATTTCACTCTATATGGGCTGATATTAATAAAAAAAATATCATTGTTGTCCAATGCATATTACGAATGTGAGGGACTTAAACACCAAATCAGATGAAAAATATATATGGGAGCTATAGCTATATCTCAACCGATGTTCTCCGAATTTAATGTACATGCCTTTAGTCTGAATTTGGTCAGATATGATAAAATTCAGGTCATTTGGACTGATATTGGCCATTTAGGGCACAATTAACCCGAAATCGGTTGAAGATATATATGGAAGCTATATCCAAATCTGAACCGATCTTGACAAAATTTGATACACTTATTTCGGAGCTGTATCTGATATTTGGTACCAAAGATCATTGTTGTGGAATGCATATTACACTTGTGACGGACTTTAAACCCCAAATCGGATAAAACATATATACATATATGGGAGCTATAGCTATATCTGAATCGATTTACACCAAATTTGAAGTACTGGATTATAGTATGAATTCAGTCGTAATTGCCAAAATTCAATCCATTTGGGCTGAAGATAAAGCCCAATCTGAACCGATCTCGATAAAATTTAACGGAGGTATTTTCGAAGCAGTATTTGATGTACGGTACCAAATATCATTCTTCTGGATGAAACATTTGATTTACTTGCTTCTAGATTGAATTCGGTGAGATGTACCAAAATACAGGTCATTTTGACTTAATTAACCCGAAAAAAAGAGTTTTTAACAGAAACGCGGCGATTGAACATATGTCAAGCTTATTATAATTGTTAATGCCCGCATCCTTCTGTTTGGTCACAGGATTAAAGCTAGCTACAATAAATGCAGTTGTTTTTATATAAATAACGGTTTTAAGCTTCACAATTTTGCAACAACAAAACACAGGTGCTTAATTCTTGTTCTTCTGAAATGAATGAGGCGACAAATGTCAAATGAAAAAATATTTTCTATTCATATTCATAGAATAAAAATCCAGCCTCATTGTGATCAGAGAGTTTCGATAATACGATATAACAATATTTAGGACGTTTTATACTTTTACTACAGATGTATGACGTTTTCGAAGTTTACACCTTCGACAGTTGAAAAAAAAAAACTGTGAAACAGACCATCTCTGTCCACGGTTAACCTAGTTTTTGGCCGGAGACAAGAGACCATGCAACTTGCATGGTTCGTTGCATTCGCCCTCTACTTACGCCCTCCATCGCTATTCAAAACTGTATTTGAAAATTTCGGAGCTCTGCTTAAAATTGATTATTCGGTATCGTAGTATAATGATAATTCTACATTTTCGATTTAGCGATCATTTTCTGTCGATTTTTCTTTCCCACGCAATCAAAAAAAATATGCAACAATTAATGTTCTTAGTGTTGATTTTGTGCTCAGTTTATAATACCCACCTCAAAACCAAAAGAAACTCCTATCAATTTCTACGACTTGAGGTTGAGAGATATATTAAAAGATCCAAAAGCAAATTTAGCTATCGACCATGTATTGCGAATATCGACTTTCTCATATCTAATAATACAATATTGGGTAGTCTTCAACTTCGGTGAAGGTTATATAAATATTAAGGCCAAAGGGCGCTAATGGGATTTGGTCCTAATAAATCAATGGACTGAGCGAAAGGCTGGATTCATTTGAGCTAATACATAGTATGGAGGGTATATTAAGTTGGTCATTCCGTTTGTAACTCTTCGAAATAATCATTTTAGACATATCAAAGTACATATATTCTTGATCGGCGTAAAATTCTAAGACGATTTAGCCCTGTCCGTCCGTCCGTCTGGTGTAATAACGCTAGAGTCTAAACGAATAAGATAGGAAATTTTGCACAGATCAGTCTTTTGTCTGCAGGCAGGTCAAGTTCGAAGATGGGGTATATCGGTCCACGATATCGTATAGCCCCCATACAACGGTGCCCCCGATATTCGGTATTTTGATGGTTTTAGCCACATTTTTCAATAAAATTGTCTGAAAATCCACATAAGTAATACCTTCTGAGTATTTCATCCCCTGGAAGATTATTGTCTATATAGGTCCACGATATCACGATACCTATACTCGGTATTGTGATGATTTCAGCAAAATTTTTCAGTGGAATTGTGTAAAAATCCATGCTAGAAGTTCTGTCCAAGCACCTTATCCCTGGAAGAGAAAAATCTATATGGGTTCAAGATATCGTATAGCCCACATAAAACGGTGCTCCCCCTGATGTTAGATATTTGGCGATTTTAGGGACGTTATTCACCGGAGTTGTTTCAAATTGCGTACCTAGAATTCGTAATATGTACTATAGCCTATGACAAAAAATTATGCAAGGGGCACGTCTTCGTATAGCCTCCATATAATGGTACATTCAAATATTCGGTATTTTGATGATTTTAGCGACATCATTCACTGTTTGTTGTTGTTTCGTATTTAGAGTTCGTAATGGGAACTACAGACTATGACAGAAAATTTTCTATGCAGGTCCAGGCCTTCGTACAAGCCCCATACATAAGTACCTCCCTATATTCGGTATTTTGATGATTTTAGCTACATTATTCACAGGATTTTTTTCAAGTTTCGTATTTGAATATTGTAATTGCTTATGACAAAACTTGCCTATACATGTCCACGTCTTCGTATAAATCCCAATATTAACGGCTATATTCGGTATTTTTAAGATTTTAACAGAATTTTTGGCGAATTTATTTTTTTGAAAATTTACAAATTCGTTCCAAATGGTGGAGGGTATTCAAAATTCCCCGGCCTAACTTACTGTTTTTTTACTTGTTTTTTTTTTTTTTTTTTTTTTTTTTTAAGTAATAATAATACGACGTCCAGACACTATTCGACTTTTTTTGTATATACATATTTAGTCGAAAGTAGTTAGGAAAGAAAATTTGACCATTCACAATCTCAGAGATTATAAAACAATTTCAAAATTAGTGTACATATGTATGTATATAATTATATATAAAAAAGAAGAATAATAAAAAATCACTTACATTAGCCATATTTCCATGCATAAGGAAAGGGTTATTTTAAACTCAAATAAAAAATAACAAAAGCTTCCGTAGAAAAAGAAACCGATAAAAAAGTGGGGTTTAGAATAAAACAAAAATAAAGGAGAAACGAAAACCAAAATATAAAACATGTTACAGAATAGAAAATAAAACAAAAGCGTGCAAAATAACAGAAAACATTTTGGAATTTGTTGTCGTTTTTTTTATTTTAGAAAATCCATAAACTTAGCTTTATTTACAGAAAAAAAATAAAAAGTTCATCCAAAAACAAGAAATATTTGTAGGTAAATATATAATAAACGAACATAATAATAATGATAGTTTACAATAGAGAATATACAATTTTAATAAATTAATGGCAGGGGTCTTAAAGGAAAAACGTTGAAGGAAAATATAGTGTAGGATTGTTGCTTTTTTGTGTATATTAAATTATTGGGTTAATTTGAATGACAAGAAGTTTTTTTTATAAAAATATGAATATAATTGATGGAGTGGTGAGTTAGTTTAAACTTTAAAAAAATATACGGTGTTATTGTGTTTTATAAGCAGCTAAAAAAATTAATATGTTATGCTACACAAGGCTAAAAAAGCTAAAAAACTAAAAAAATGGCCCTGTTCAGAATGTATTCATTGCCACAACTCTTAGGAAGACGTCTTACCAATTATATAGTTCCAGAATCAGCCAGAATTAGCAATTTTATTCAATTTTATCAACTTGACTTTGGAAATTTGAAAAGTTTATTTTTTTGTTTGTTCTTTAGCCACCTTCTACCTGAGACTACAATCTCAGTTTTAATAAAATACAACGGGAAAATTTTTTTCCGGAATAAATACGTCGCGACGAAATAGTGAGATGCAATCTATATTAATAAAAGAGTAAAGTTATTGACTGACTGGCTTAAATGTTCCTCCACGCCCAGACGAAACGGTTGAAGATAGAATCTTGACCCTCACTCATGGTCTGAAAGGGTCAGATAAGTCCGGGTTTTTTGGAAATTCGTACTAGAACTGTAAAAAGGTATTACAAGGTACTAAATATGGTACGCTTTGTATTTGCGGAAACAGTAGAGCTAGAACTCTAAAATTTAGAATGAGCGTCACTGATAGAGTGTATGATAGATATGCCAAAGAGTTTCTGGGAATTCGTACTATAAGTGTGCGAAAAAAAATGTACTACATTTGGTACTATTTCGTATTATATGAACGGTTAAGCTAAAAACTTAAAACTTGGAATCGGAATCAATGTTGGGAGTAGAATCAATGTAAGGATGTAATTTTGGAACCGTGTAATCATTTATACGAAAAGTACTAAACGGCAATAAATTTAGTACAATTTGAATTTGGAGGAACGGATGGAGCTAGAATCCTGAAATTTGAAATTAACATTACTGGCGGAAAGTACACATCTTGAAATTTAGAAATAAGAAAGGAAATTCGTATTTAATGTGTACTAAATAATAAATTTGGTACAATTTAAATTTTGGGTAAACCGATGGATTTCTATTGGACTTTATGATGTTGGTAGTTGCGAAAATTTGTCCTTAAGTGTACTAAATGGTACTAAATTTTGATTTGGGTAAAACAATAGAGCTGGTATCCTGAAAATTGGAAATATAATTACTGTTGGAGTGTAAAATTGGGATATATAGAAAACTACCTATATTGGTGATTTGTACTTATATGTGTTAAAACGTACCAAATAAAGTACAATTTGTATTTGGACGAACCAACATGGGTGGAATCCTAAAATTTGAAATGAGGACTGCCGTGGGAGTATGGGGTATGTAGGAAGCTTTGGAACTAAATGGTACTTTAGAACTAAATGTACAAATTTGAATTATGATGGATTATTATGGTGGAATTGAATTATTACGATGGAGCTGGAATTCTGAATTTTGGAATGTGAGTCACTGATGGAGAGCAGAATAGATGCACCAAAGGGTTATTGGAAATTTTGAAATTCTCTATTGGGGTCTCTGGTTGTAGTAGATTCGTAATAAAGAGGTGGTTTTAGAAATGTGTACTACAAGTGCACGTAAAGTACTAAATAGTACTACGTTTGGTACAATTTGGATTTGGGTGGACTTAGGGTCACTCTGCATGTGTAGCCTGGACATATGGAAGTGATTGCGGAGATGTGTACCCCAATTGCATAAAAAGTACAGAATGGTACTACATTTGGTATTGGGTGGAGGAATAGAGGTAAAATTCAGAATGTTATTCAAAATGTTAAGGAGGACTTTTCGCTGACGAAGTAGGGGGTACTTGTAACTTTCAAATATATTTGTTGTGGCGTGGAACTGTGATTGTTTCTGGTGTTGTGGAACTGTGAATGTTTCTGTAGTTTTCACATTAGCACTGCAAATTTTACAAATTTTTACTCGAAAAGAGTTAATTTACTGAAAAGGCAATGCGACTTAAAAGAGAGTACAGAACAAAATATATGTATCCTATGAACTTAACCGAAAAAGAAAAATATTTATAAAATCTGAATACATTCTGAAAAGTTGCACTTTCGATTTTATAATTTACATTTTGCCGCACTGTGTAATAACCATATTTATATAATAAAAAAATAGAAAAAGAAACTCGTTATTCATTTTCAAAAACTCCCCGACGTACATACAAAAAATACTTCATTTACAAAAATTAAAAATCAATAAATAAATAATGTTCAAATTTCGTAAAACCGTTTTGTTGTACAGGAAAGTAATTTGATTAGTGGTCCAATTCTTCGACTAACTGAAAACGAAAAATGATTTAAGCCAATGCAAATACCGGTTTTAACAATTTTGAATTTGGCCAAACTTATTTTAAACTAATAATATGAACTTAGCATTAAAATGAAGCTGCCAATGTTTGAACAAATTTTGAAAGCCAATGATTATTTTTTAATTTTTTATTTTTTAATATTTTCTATTCCTTAAATAAATGATGGCGTTAGTAACATTATACACAAACATATACTATGTACATACATATGTAAAATGAATAAATTTTGATTTGTTTTGATTTTATTTATTATTGGGGGGTTATATTCTTAAATACGAATAAAATTAAAAATCAACTTAAAATAATTTCAATTAATTAATATTTTTTTTTAATTTTTTTACGATATTCAATGGGGATGTATGTTTGGTATATTGGTGTGTAGGAGTTTGGTAGTATGATATATTAGCGTACCTGCATCGAAAATTGTGTTTTTGGCGTTGTTACAGCAACGGGTTTAGCTGACGACGATTTGCGCTGCTTGGAAAAAATTGGGATTTGAAAATTAGGGTTAATTGACATTAATTGGGGATTTGTTGTTAGTGCTTTGTTGCATTTCTGGTTAAACATCAGAATATTAAGAGAGGCATGTCTTGCGTTTGTTTGGAAAATTAATTGCAAATCTTGATTGAACTTAGTGGGAAGGGGGGAAAATCAGTAGAAAAATAAAATAAATCGATCAAAAAAAAGTAACTTAAACTGAAACGAAATTGCATGCACCAAAGTTTAGGAGTACAATAACAACAGACAAACAAGTGGTAGAAGAAGATGGAGCTGTATTCCTATTTATACCTGAGCATTCAAGCGCAAACGCGATGTATTCGTCGTGGCAATGCTGTTCATTGTGCCAATTGATGTGAGAGATTCACGGGATCCGGTACGGGAGAGACGCGACTTTTTCGATGATGGTGACAATGAGACCTTAGCGATTGGCACAAAGACACCATATTTGGGTTTGCATTCGAAATATCTGTGTGGAAAATGTGTAATGGAAAATTAATAAAAAAAAAAAACAGAAAACATGATAGATGAAAATTCCGCCATCTTTGGTTAGGGAAAAACATACCTGACACCATCCACGGAACCATCATTTTTGCCAGTTGCTTCGTCGAGTTCAATGCCGCACCAATTGCCAGAGGCAAATTGTGTTTCGCCCAAATAACGTAGAATACCGGGGCGACTGCCAAAGCCGGAGGACACAATAACGCGATCACCAACGGTCAAGCCATTTTCTTTTTTGTTTGGAACGAGATTTGGATTAAAATATTTTGTAAGACTTCAAATTTAAAGAAATGTAATATGATTTGAAGTTTTTACATTTGGCATTAAAAAACTGTTTTTTAACTCCGATTTCGGTATAAAAATGTTCCAATCTTTGAACATACTCATATCCATGGCACAATTAGGAGGTAGAACAGCTGTGTAAACAGCTGAAATACAGCCCTGAGGCTATATCCGCTTTCTGTCAGAATTAAATGCAAAATGTTATTCGGATTTCTTTCTATTGCAAAACTGAGTTATATTCCCAGTGCGCGCCCAGCAATGTAAGTTTTTCCAAAAAAAAAAAAAAATAATAATAATAATAATAATAATAAAATAAAAATATCCGGTTTCTAAATGTATGAGTGATTTCATATCTCGATAAGGAACTAGTTCGTTCGATCGAACTAGATTGGCCCAACGTTGATGGTAAAATTAACCTGTTTCCATGGTCTTGAAGACTTAATCGATTCATAGAACTCTTTCCTTGCTGCTAAAATACAAAACCGAAGTTGTAGGATTGACAGGGTCCCCAGTGACTTGGTCCGGCTCCGGAATGGTTCCTATTCTTATATTTTTATGCATTTTACATTGAAAAGTTAACCTTTCCTATTATGGCCGAACCCATAAACAAAATGGTGTGCGGAAAAACATTTTAGAAATTCGAACTGGAAGAATACCGAATGTACTAAACGGTACCAAATATGGTACCATTTGCGTTGGGCGAACTGATAGAGCTTGGCTGTACGAAGCTGATAGTACGAAGAGTACTAAAAGCTACTAGTTTGCCGCCATAATGTTTTTTTTTTTAACAATGGAGCTAAAATCATGGAATTGATACGGCCAAAACGTGCCTTATCGAAATAACGGTTTTAAACCCTAGGTCTATCCGATTCGATCCAAACATGGTATATCGTTATATTATTATCAGACTTAGATCGAATTCGGAGATGGGCAATATCGGTCCACTCTTTCTGGTGCCTTCCCCATAAAAGTTCGAAATTGTCAAAGAAAATATTTTACTGCACAGAAAAGAGAAAGAATAATCCGATTTTGCTTCAATTTTGCAAATCCTAATGCTAGGTCAGGTGCGAAAATGTATATGAATAATTATAACTCTTATAAAATGTAATGTAAGAGTCCGATTGTATTCATTTTGCACACATCACAATATTTTAATTAACCCAAGGTCTGATATGAAGATGGAATATATTGGCATACATTGGCATGGAATATATTGGAACATTGGCTGAGGGTATACATCTGGCGGGAAAACCGACTGATAATCAAAACCACAATTTGACACCTAATGTAGAAATCGCCAGAAAATTGTGGAAAAAAAGAAAGAAATGGCCGGAGTAAAAAGCATTGACTGAAGACTGGCCGCTTCCGATTGGCGTATATGCTGATTTTTATGGATTGTGAGATTTGCCATAATTGTCTCTTCCTTTACTTTCTCAGTAGAATTCTATATTTCGCTTTTTTACTAGTATTTTTTAATGTAAACGAACAAAGTCAATATTATGAATTTGGTTAAAGTAAAAAAATGTAGAAATTTCTGTACAAACTTTTTGAGAACTTCAAACCATATTACATGCTTCTTTAACGCTCAGCGTAGTATTTTAAAAACTTACTTCCTGGACTACGCAAGAATGAACTGCGAATACTGGCTGTGGGCGATACGGTGCGTGAGCGATCTGGCGACATTTTTGATAGTGGCGAAGTTGGTGTTGAGGCTCCTGGCAGTGGAGCCAATGTGAGGCGAGTCAAGCGTGAGAATATGCCACGCTTTGGTTCGCACTGGAAGTAACGTTTACCGGCAACACAACCATCATTTTTACCTTAAAGTTTTGTTTGTTTGTTTTTTTTTTTTGCAAAATAAAAATATTAAAACGAGTCGGATTTAAAACAATTTACGCGATTTCAAACTTACCACTGGGTTCGTCCAACACTATGCCAGCCCAGTCTCCTGGGGCAAAATGTGTCTCACCAATATAGGCTATTTGCCCGGGACGTATGCCACCAACCCATACCCTCTGTCCGATGATAAACTGTTCCGTGTCGTGTGTCAGTATAGCGCCGTGATCTGCAAAAGAGAACAAATGGAGAAATTATTGTAGAGCTTAGTTGGAATCAGTTTGATATCTGGTAGTAGCATGTATCAGTAGTGGACCCATATTTGGGCAATGTTCCCCAAAACCAAGCATGAATTCAATATGTAATCATTTTATTAATACCAATACGATCTTCAATATTATCGCTGCCATTACAATACAAAATGAGAAGTTATGGCTAGTATTTATTCAGATGTGGTTGTTGTTGTTGTTGTTGTTTTTTTGTTATGACAGTAGTATACTCGAATTTTTGTTTACATTTTACTTTTGTTAGAAGAAAAAAAAATAACCTAAACGAGTTCATGATGTCATTCCGGGTTAAGAGATTAGTCTTAATTTACATGTCGCTTGTTTCCATCACACTTTCATTATTTACACACTTTTAATGAATTTACACATTTTTCGATACATAGAAAACATTTTAAAATCGATATATCTTATATTGAATTGGAAATTTAAGTTTTACAATATGATTTCGATATTATTTTTTACTGTGGTAATAGGGTCAACCATAAATCATGGAATTTTCCTCACAATATCTTGAAATAGTGTACGCAGTTCTCTTAACATGGATGTTTTCAAACTACGGAAAGTGTACTTAAAAAACAGTTTTAATCATTAAAAGATTTCGTGGCGGGAGGTACCGGGGAATTGGTTTCCAAATAAAACAACATTTTTAATTGTAAGTAAAAAATATTGTTGAAAATAATATTTTCAAGGTCAGTACATAGAATTTCCTATTTTTATCCTCTTAAATAAAAGGCATTTGCCACGGCCCTCTGTTAAAACGGCGAATAACAAAGCTTTAAATTGTCATTGAAAAATGACATATCCGTGTAGGTTGTGGAGTGGTCTACATGTAACGGTATTTTAGAGGGCACAATGTAGCGACACCGCCCGATTTATCAGCTGAAATGGCTGTTGCAGAATATTTTCAATATTGGTTCATGGGTCCGGTTAATTTTATTTCCAAGGACTTGACAGCATTTTCTATTCGGAACGTTTGATTCGTTACGGGTAAAAGCAATTTTACATAAATTTAAACCAATTCAAAAAAAAAAAAAAAAAAAAAAATCGTAAACAATTTGTCTAAAATCATTTAACTTCCAAACATCGGCTGATTTCGTTATATGGGTACCTCAGCTTCGATCTAAAATACAATTGAGTTTTGTCAATCTACTTCATTCCGTTCGGATGCAGACAGGCTGGCGGGCAGATATGCTGATGAAGAATATACAGGATGAGATGAAAGAACTGCAACCAAATTCAGTCTGCTGTCATTTCTAAGCCACTCGTCCGACAGCTGTTGAAATTATTCCAGTGACAGCTCATTATATTGTTTACAAGCGTACAAAAGCATTTTGGTGAGAATTGTTCAGAAAAAAGATATACGTGATGGAGTTCAAGCGTGATAGTGTGACTTCTTTATATTTGGCTGAAAACCACAAGTGACTATCGTTGGAGCACTCCAGCCTTTAAATGCGAATAAATCTTTTGTGTCTCGTACCATCGCTCGTTACCGTGATACTGGTAGCCCGACGTGGAAGGAAGTGGACGGAAGAAAACAGCAACATCAGCAGCTATGGTTCGATAAGTAAAGAAGCGACTTGATCGAAACCCGCGTTGCAGTGGCCTAATAATGGTTCGTGAACTGGACATATCGCAATATTGAAAAAATGAGCCATTGAAATTCCGAAAAGTGCAAGAACTTACACCGCAGCAGAAAGAAAATATACTCAAAAGAGCTAAAGAGTTGCTTCGCTTGGTCGAAATTGGTGAACTGCCGAATTTGGTTTTGTCCGATGAGAAAACATTCGTTGTCCAGCAGTTTGTAAAAAACAAAGAGGTCAGCTGAAAATGTGCACCTCTGGTTGGCCACCACAATTCAAGCGAGGGCCATGGTGGTGGTGTGGGCCGCCATAACAGCCGATGGTCGTTCTCCGCTCGTATTAATCGACCGTGGCATCAGAATAAATTCCGAATATTATATATATTGGAGGGTGTATTAAAGCCTTGGGCACGCAAACATTTTGGCTGCAGACCTTGGACATTCCAACAGGATTCAGCACCGTCGCACTCAGCACTCGCCGCCCAAGAATGGTTTTAAAATGAGGTTCCTCGCTTCATTTCCAGCGCACAATGGTCACCTTAATCTCCGGATACCAATCCTTTGGACTATTGTGTCTGGAGTATTTTGGAAAGCAAGGTTGGCACTAAAAATACCAAAGTGTCGATCATCTCAAGCAAGTGCTTCGCCGGGAATGGTCGCAGCGCAACATTCGGGCAGCATGTGACGGTTTCAATGGCCGTTTGAAGGCCATAATTCGTGCCAAAGGTGACCAATTCGAACAAGTCTTAACTTTTTGATGAATTTGATGATATTTCCGACATTTTTGCCCTTAATTCAATAAAATTAAAGCAAGTAAAAATTATGGCGTTTGACTTTGTTGCACTTTTCTAATCTCACCCTGTACATACTTTGTGGGGTGTAAAATATTGGTATCGAGGAGTTACAAAATGTATTACAAACTCAGCCCCCATAGTATGGTGTAAGGCAGGGTCAGGGTCGATGAGCGTAATTCTTTCCACTCACTCAATCTGATGCAATAAGAAACAGGTCTCTTTAACGAAATTTCTGTTTAATTGGATGGATGGAGGACTCCTCCAAAAAAAAACAGCAACATTTTCAAAGAAAATAGTTTATCCAATTTCAAACTTTGTACATCTTAATATTTGAATCAATATTTCAATGAATTGAAATAAATTTCCTTTTTCTATTACCTATATCTCTCATAATATGTGAGACCAACCAGCGACTTTTCTCAAACAGCCTTTGTGAGCAGACAAAGGTTCAACATTTTATAGAAGAAAAATAATAATAAAAATACCTTTCGTACAGCGATTTTGATTAAACTTAGCACATACCAACATATTAAGAGCAGGTGTGAAAAGAGAATATATGAAAGAGAGGGGTATCCGATATAGTTCAAACTTGATACTCTGTAACATTTAGATAGGACTTAGGTCAGATGCGATAAATCATACATAGGGTAAGTGCGCCTAAGGTCGGCATGTCCCAGTAGTCGGCAATTTTGAAATGTAACCTTATATAACTAAGAATAGAATTGACTAAATAATGAATTAATTACAAAAAACGTCAACAGTGTTATCTGCTCTCTTTCTGTAAAAAAAAACAATGAGCTCCGATCATTTATTACGAGAGAATAACGATTTTTGTCAGTGAGTGTCTTCCAAAGCGTACGATAGTGCTTGTTTGCAAAGAACAAATTAGTGGTGGTGTCAACTTAATAATCGATTTAAGTAAATTAAATTTAATACTTTTGGAATCAGAAATATTTAATTATAGTAAATAACAGTCTAAAGATCATTTTATAACTTAAAAAATTTACGAATCAAGCATTTTTCTGTTATATTATTTAATGCCGACATTAGGAACAGAAAAAAAGAGATCTGCCAGTAGTCGGCAGGGGGTGCCGATTATTAGAAAAATATAATTTTTGACAAATTTTACCAAAACTTGAGAAAACTATTAAAAAATTATCCAAAAACTACACAAATAAAATAGCTGGCAAAAACTACTATTTTAGTAAAATTGCGAATTTTGCCAATTTAGTAAAAACAAATTCAATTTGTGTTTATTATTTCGAAAAGTAAACAAAATTTGGAATCTGAACAATATTATTTATCTGCAATTGTATCGGCATTTTAAAAGTTTACATCGCAAAGTAGCCTAAATGGAGGGAACAATTTCCCCACACTTTTGAACAGGTTCGGATTGAGATTCCTCTTTGGATTAAATCTAGAATCGTTAATATAGGAAATGACTTAATTCGGAGGTATCTCTAAAAATCTTTAAAAAATTTCAAAGCTCTATCTCAAATGTTGCGCAATATATCTCAAACTATAGGAGTCCTACTGTATGCAGTCAAAACAATATGAAGGCATTTATGTTACTTTATAATGTAAACTTTTAAAACGCCAATACACGTGTTTCCTTCTTTTAGCTCTACGTTTATAATCTGCTGGGTTTTCCCCTTGATTATAGAAAAAATTGAATTTGTTATTCTTTAATCACAACTCCTATCAAAAGTAAGACGTCCCCCTATTTTCTGCAAAGTTCGCGCATTGCATCATCTCTACAAACAATACCTAGATGTAACGTAGTGGGACATATAGGTCCAATCTTTAAGATACATGGTCAAATGTTGAGGTTCTATATCAGCCGGACTGAAGCTTTCTAATAAACTTTAAATTAAACCTATACTCTGCGTTCCGGCGTGGTGGTTTCATCGCTTAAACTCCTTTGGCTTTTATTTCAAATGTAATATGATCCCTTCAATCCATTTTATTTTAAATTAGAACGAAAAATTGGACTTGGTACTCTACCACTCCATGCAAGAGTTTCGCTTCACTTGGCTTTGTAGGTTGTCATAAGACATTGGAAACTTTGCATGCAATTCGAATTGTTTTGTAAAACATAAAGAACAAAATCGAACTTGTACAAAACAATTGAATTCAATTTGATGGAGTAATTTAATTCAAACGGATATCGTTAAATGGCTTTGCAAATGAAAATTAATGCAATTTATGAATTCGTTCGATTCAGTTTAGTTTACAAAATATGAAAATAAATGCAATTATATCATGGTCATTGATACAAACACACATACACACGCAACGACGAACACACATGTCATACTTGCAAATATTAAAAAGTTGCATTTTTTGCTGTTGTCGTTGTTGTTTCTGGCTGTTTGTAACCTAAAATTGGTTGTCGTGAGTTCAAGTGTGGGGGAGTTTTTCCAGAAAGAACACAAAACCGATTATTAGACTGTTATTAAGGCAAAACTTGCTTTTGTTTTGCAATTCATTAACAACAAATGCATGCAAATTCTATCGGCATGTAATGGCTGGCCGCACTCCCCCGCCGACAAGCGGGGCAACTCCACTCCTCTCCATATACTGGCAACAGTTCAGACAAAATTTAATAATTGCGAGCAACAAAATAAACAACGAGCGGAATTGCAAAACATCGACAACAGATGCAATTAAAAAAAATAACAACAGCAACATCTAATTGATTTGTTGTACTGAGGAAATGTTAAAAAGTAATAAAAAAAAACGAACGAGAAAAAAGATATTAAGCGCTTTGTAAGACATAAAAATTAATAATGGCAACTATCTAATTGTAGATAAGAGAAAACAAAAAAAAAAAAAAAACACGAAAATAATTCCACTATCAGATAGAAAAACATGGGAATGGACTACCAATAATGCCAATGGCTTCTTGATTACATCCAACCCAACCCATGTTGTGGCCCAACATTTGCAGCGTTCATGCACTATTCGGTTGACAATTTCGTTTCTTTTTTTTTTTTTTTTGTGGAAAATTAATGGAATGGAAACATCTGTCATCCAACTTGTTGGTGGTGTCGATGTTGTGTGGGCTTCATCAGTTTAGTGGCTTGTCTGTCGTGTCATGTGAAACGTCAAAGATTGACTAATGGCTGATTTATCGATCGCATGCAAAACGTCATAGATAAGATAAATTCAATTGTTTTGCAGTTTTTGTTTTTCTTTTTTGGGAGTGATGAAATATTCGCAGCCAGAGGGATGTATCTTGAAATTCTAAAACACTCCTAAATAGTTGGAAATAACCTTGAGCCGTAATTCAGCACAAAATTCTCTTATAAGATTAAAGTTCAATAATAGTACAAAATAGTAAATAATAGTAAATTTGGTAAAATCAAATGTAATATTTTTTGAGGGCGATGGAAGTTAATAAATAATAAATTACAAATCGTTAAAAAGGCAAAGAAACTATATTGCATTGAGGGAAATATGAAAGATAGGCACATTTGTTGTTATATGGAAACAAAATCGGTATTTGTTTAAGAAACATAAGAGTTACAATATGTATACCCATACCGCTCGATTACGGTATTTCGGATATTTCTGTCCCAGTTCTGTCCCTATCTGCTGTATTTTGGTATTTCGGCTTCTCTGTTAGAAGATTAAATCCTCTCAGAGAAAATACGCAATATAAATATAGCACTCAAATTTGAAGATTTTTCAGGAAAATCGACATGTCCATAATCTATCTCTACCAACAAAAATCCTCGAATTTGTTCCAAAAATGAAACTATCTCGAATTCGAGCGAGTGCGCTCTTGGAAGCAGAAATGTTCGATGTCGCTTTTAAGTGGGAGCAAAATACGTTCAAAATCCAACAGATTCTATTATTAAGTTCGTCATTCCGTTTGTAACTCATCGAATTAATAATTTCAGACATAACAAAATATATATATTCTTGATTAGCGTAAAATTCTAACACGATTTAGGCCTGTCAGTCCGTATGTTTTAATCACGCGTACAGATCTGTCTTTTGTCTGCAGGCAGGTCAAGTTCGAAGATGAGATATATCGGTCCACCATATCGTATAGTCCCCAAATAACGGCACCCCCGATATTCGGTATTTCGTATTTTCAAATTTCGTATTTAGGGTTCGTCATGGAAACTTTGGTCTATGACAGAAATTTGTCTATTCAGGTCCAGGTCTTCGTATAGGCCCCATATATCAATACCTCACTATATTCGGTATTTTAGGTACAATAAATTCTACACAAGGAGTTCTTTGTGAGTACTTTGACTTCTAAAAGAGAATTGTCTATTTAGGTCCACGATATCGTATATTCCCCATATAACGGTAACCCCGATATTCGGTATTTTGATGATTTTTGTCACATTTTCCAATGGAATTGTCTGAAAATCCACACTCTTTCTGAGTACTTTACCCTCTGGAAGGGAAAGTGGTTTCAAATTCTGTATTTAGGGTTCGTCATGGGAACTACAGGTCTCCAGGTCTTCGTATAGCCCTGATATACCTATAGAGGTACCTCAATTCCCGTATTCGGTATTTTGATGATTTTAGCTACATTATTCACCGGATTTTTTTCATGTTTAGTATTTGAATGTTGTAATGACTTATCACAAAAGTTGCCTATGTTGGTCTCCGTATAGGCCCCAATATACCGGCGACTTCCTATATTCGGTATTTTTAAGATTTTAACAAAATTTTTAACGGAATTTATTTTTTCTGAAAATTTCCAAATTGTTTCCACATTGTGGAGGGTATTCAAGCCATTAGCCATTTCAGCATGTTTAGAGGGGTTGCATTCATATCTGAACCAACTGGGCAGATGTATTTCAATATACAGATATCCTGCAGATTGTGGATTGGGTTCAACCTAAAACTAAGTCGTAAAATACACGGAATCTGCTTCTAAATCGATTGTTATCAATCTTAGCAGAATAATCGAAAAGGCGGTTGTGTGCAAAAATATTAATCATAAAGTCTTCATTATTTATATGAAATAAAAGAATTACCCTACAATAAACCACAAAAGCATTTTTCCTATAACATTCAATTAATTTTGAAGCGTGATCTTCACATCATCAAAAAAAAGAAAAGAAAAAAAAACAAAACAAAAATATATCAGAGCCACCTGCACATTAGAAATCATGATGCATTTGATGATGGCATGACAATTGACGTCTCTACCATCATCACATAAATTGTCCGATTCAGATGTTAATAAATGTCACGTCCAGTCTGTCATTCCATAAAACACAAAAGACAAACGACGCTCCAACATAGAAAATGCTCCAAAGATGATTAATGAAGAAATTTTGCAATGTTTTTTTCCTCTCCTCTAATTTTGTGCGTTCTCACATCGCTAGCCAACAAATGTGCCATAAATATCGCTTCGTTGTCAGCCATTCATGCCAATGTGCCACCATTTAAGGCAACGTCAAGTGGCACAGATTTTATGGCAAAATGCAACAGTAACATGGCTGGCTGGCTGGCTGGCTGGTCTATGCTGCAGTTCGATTGATCGGTCTTCTTGTTGTAAGCTGCTATGCAGCAATTGGATTGAGTAGGAAACCAACTAGCCACCTGCGCATGTGCCGCCGCCTCTGCTGAAGCTAATGAGGCTGTGTATATGGATTGTCAACGCCAACGACAATGAAGGAATGAATGCACCGGGCTAGTAAGTTAAAAGAGGGGCGCAAACGACACAACTCGCTGCAGATATGGGAGAAATATAAATCTTGTATTTTTCGTTAGCAAAAAAACAAAAAAGAGATATTGACAGATGTTAGACAATGTCTGCGTGTTATGTTGCTGTTGGGTTATTCTAGAAAAGTTTTAGTCGGTAAACAATAAAGAGAGCTTACTATTGTTGCAGTTGTTGGTTTTTGTAAGTAAGAGTTATTTTGTTTTGTTATTTGGGTTGACTGTGTTCTAGGAGACATTCTTAACTCTTACCTGAACTGCGTCGTCGGCCTGTGGCCTCTACGTAAAAATCGTCTTTTTTGGAACAAAAAACAAAATACATAATTATTTCCAATTCAGTTGAATATTTGCAATTCACATGGATAATAGAAAAAAAAAACATAGAACTTTTTCTTTTTCAAACTTACATGGAGAACTTGACTTGAATGAATAGCGTGATGGAGAGAAACGATCCATTTCGGGCGACAATGACGAACGTGTAAAACGTTTAACTGTCTCCTGATAGAGGTCTGCATTATTTTTATTGACATTTCAGAATTGGCGAAGCGTGGATGGGAGAGGCGATGCATGGTTTGGGAAGTTTTTTTTTTAATTAAAAATAAATAAAAATTTGATTATAACAACAATGTTACACAAGTATTTTGCTACAACAAAATATTGTTAATCACAAACGTAGGGTATTAAAGTAACATTAAACAGAACAAGATTAATGCTGTTAGGAACAACTATTTTTTGTTATAGTTTTGGGTACACTGTTAGAGTTAAGGATATGGTGCATTGTGAGGATATTATTACTGGATAATTTTATTAGAAAAGGATTTTTTGTTCAAATTAAAAATTCTAACAATGACATCCAAATTTTAACAATGAAATTGCATGGTTTTTCAAAGATAAAGAAAAGTAAATTAGTATGTGATCTCGTATAGAAAAATGCACGTGCTTTGAAATACAACAATTGTATGATAATAGCTTAAAGAGTGTTCGGCAACATTAGCATCTGCTCGATTCCGAACAACTATTGATCCCTCTCAAAAACTAGTAAAACATGCCCACTTCTATTCGAGCAGTATCAAAAAATTGCGTTTGATCGATTTTCTTCTGCTCCTAGTAGCGCTCACGCTCCAATTCGAATGAGTTTCACTCTTTACAGGGTGAGATAAAAAACTGCAACCAACTTGAGACTGCTGTCATTTCTAATCCACTCGTCCGACTGCTGTTAAAATTATTCCAGTGACAGCTCATTATATTGTTTACAAGCGTACAAAAGCATTTTGGTGAGAATTTTGAAAAAAAAAATATAAGTTATTCGTGATGGAATTCAAGCGTGATAGTGTGATTTCTTTATACTTGGCTGGAAAACCACAAGTGGCTATATTTAGAGCACTCCAGCATTTAAATGTGAATAAATCTTTTTGTCTCGTACCATCGCTCGTTACTGTGATACAGGTATCGTCGTAGCCCGACATCATGGAAGTGGTCGGAAGAAAACAGCAACATCAGCAGAAATGGTTCGAAAAGTAAAGAAGCGACTTGATCGAAACCCGCGTCGCAGTGGCCGAAAAATGGCTCGTGAGCTGAACATATTGCAATATTCCATTTGGCAAATATTCCATAAAGTGCAAGAACCTACATCGCTACAGAAAGAAAATAGACTCAAAAGAGCTAAAGAGTTGCTTCGCTTGGCCGAAAGTTGTAAACTGGACTATTGTGTCTGGAGTATTTTGGAAAGCAAGGTTGACACTAACAAATACCAAAGTGTCGATTACTTCAAGCAAGCGCCTCGCCGGGAATGGGCCTGTACATTGCGAACTTTCCAATGACAAGACTTAAAATTGCAAAGCGACATGTCCCGCTCAGTAAGCACAGTTTTACAGAAACCCACCCGGAACTTCTCTGTAACGTATCTAGTCCTCCCCTCTCTGAATTCAATTAAATTTAGAATTCTCTGAACAGTTCTTGGAACTGTACCTGCAGTGTTCTCGGTGACGTCAGAAATATTTAATTATTGGAATTTCACATGAACAACAATGGCAACAACAAAAATACAATTGAAAATACATTAACAGTAATTATTTTCACACAATACCGCTCAACACAATTCCCATTTCTTGCTAATGTGTCTTACAAATAGACAGTTCATTGAGCACACCATCCAATACACACACGTACATGCACACATACATACATACACTATCAAATACTATCATCGTCATCATCATCACAATCTGTAAAGAATATTCCGCTAAAAGCGCTTAACAAACGTTTGCACTTTGCTAGAATTGTTGACGACGTTGCCCCCTCTGTCCCAGGTGGAGCTCCTTACCACTTCACCAGCTCCTTACCACTTCACCATCAGCAGGTAGTGTTAGCGTTGTAATGCCATTTTAAAAGCTGGTTCTCAATTAGTTGTCGCTATCTTTCAAAAGAAAGCGGCAACAGCAACTGTTGAAAGCGAACAGAAAAATCACGACGTTTGTGTTGCTATTTTTAGATCTGTGCTTAGTAATCGCGGTGACAATGAAAACGAAAACGAGCAAAATAATGCCTAGGCGAGATGTTTTCCACAACGTAAAGCGCGGTCATCCAAACGCGACGAAAAGTCAAATGAATGCACGACCTGTTTGTACATTAGAACTAAGAGGTGGTGGGGGGTTTTCTGACAGCCAACGAGCTAGTGGAGCTGCATGAATGATTCATCATGACCATGACGTCTAAAAGATGACTTCTCTCTGTTGCGAAAAGTGGCGCCAAGTTGCGAGAGCAACAACTTTGGAAGTAATCACATCCTTAAATGCAACGCGATTTGACCCCGTTTCAATATTTTTGTTTTTGGTTTTGTCTGAAAATCAGCTATAGACTTGGAAAATGTTCTAATGACATTTGTACAAAAAGAGCCGGTCATTTTAATTGCGACAAAATTGAGTTTGTCATTAAGATTAAGTATGTGTGAGTGTGTGTGGTGCACTTTGTTTTCAGATTTTGATGGATTACGCTGAAACATTATTGCAAATAAATAAAATGGTATTTTTAAGAGACATAGACTTATTTACAAACAGGAGGGGATTTGAAATATCCTTGTAGAAAATTAAAGCCTTTTCAGATGTGAAAAATGATTTCCCAGTAAGAAATCTCATTGCCAAATAATGAGGTCATTAAGTACATTTCGGCACCAGTAACTACTTACAAACCATCATCATAACCCCTTATTTTAACATTTAAGTTCAAAATGAAAATGTCAGGGAAATCGGATAGAGAATTCACAATCTTAAAAAGTGGGCGGAACCGTCATATGGGGGCTTTACCAAAACCCAAAACTACAAGAATTTCCTGCTAAAGGTGTATTTATCTATTGCAAGCTTCAAATACCAAATTTAAAACAATTAAATTCAAAAATATTGTTAAAATTATCAAAATTGCGAATATCAGAGGTTATAATTATATGAGGCTATAGGAAAACCTTAAAATATAGGTATAGACATTTTTCTGTCAAAGTATCCATCACGAACTTCAAAGTCAAAATACTATATTTCAAATGACTCAATTGGAAAATGTGGCTAAATTAATCGAAATATTGATTTTCGGAAGGTACCGTTGTGTAGCAGTTAGAGGAAGACGTGGATCTGCATGGAGGTAGTGCCTATTACAAATTCCAAATTTAAAATAATACCAGTGGGAAATGTGGCTAAAATTGCAAAAAATCGAATATTGGGAGGTATAGTTTTATGGGGGGCCATACGAAAACATGTTCTATTAAGAAACATTTTTATCAGAGAATGTACAGGGTGAGTACCAACGCTCGTTACCGTAATACTGGTAGCGTGGCCAGACGTCAAGGAAGTGGATGAAAGAAAACAGCAACATCGCAATATTCCCTTCGGCAAATATTGAAAAGTGAGCTCGGGATAAAGCCATTGAAATTCCAAAAAGTGCAAGAACTTATACCGCAACAGAAAGAAAATAGGCTAAAAAGAGGTAAAGTGGCGAACTGCGGCCAAATTTGAACAGCGGCCGAATTTGATTTTCCCGATGAGAAAACATTCGTTGTCCAGCAGTTTGTAAATCTCTCTCTCTCTCCTTAGCTTACGAGTAATACAGAACGTAAGTAGTTGTCATTATTTTTGGAATATTGGAAATTAGTATTAGACTGTCATTACTAGAAATGCTCAAGGTTTTTGATACTCTCTGTTTTAAACCTTAATGTTAGTTTGCCCAAACAAACGGAGATGCCTCACCATCATAGCAATACAATATTGAAAAAAATATAACGAATTTCAAATCTGAAAAATTACATAAATATACCTATGTAGGGCGAGCAACACTTTATGAGGAAGTGATAAATTAAATATCCAAATATGTAATTATTTTTGGTCTTTCTGTTTGGTTTCTTCTTGTTTTTGCTTCACCAGTTGAGTAAAACTTAACCTTCGCTCGGCTGCCAACTATTTGAAAGAGTTGAAATGAATAAACCGAGTCGGGCCAGAAGAAATGACATTGTTCAGAATTTTATTTTGGTTTGTGTTTTGCAAAATTTGGGCCATAGTTTTCGTATTATGTGTTTCTTTCATTTTTCTTGTTGTCGTAGAATTGGTGAAAGTTTGCAACGAAGAAAAAATAAGGGAAACTCTTAAAATGTTTATTATTGAATAAGGCCTCTAAGAAGATTGACAAAAGATAAGAAAGAATATAAATGGTTTTATTTCGGGGACAATAGGGTGCGGCTGCAAAGGTTCGATGCAAAGATTACCATTAATACGCCTCTTTTCATTTATTGTTTTACTTGAATCTAGGATGATTGCAAGGCATGTTCAATCTAATGGAAAACAGAAAAAGAAAAAAACTTAGCTCAAGAAAACATAAAAGTAGTAATTATTGCTCAATTTTTTTGTTTTGGTATTTCTGACGAAAAACTGACCAGCACTAATCGCTTGAATGGCTACAATTGCTTCTGTTGTACTTCACTTTTCGTCTGGCATTTCAAGTGGCGGTTTTTATTACCAATTCCATCGGTGTGTAATGAACTCGGCTTTTATTTTGTTAAACAAAAAAAAAAAAAACATTTTGCAATGATGCAAAAAACCGTATATTGAACATTCGCTGGTGCTGCTAGTCATGCAAGAAAGGAAGCAACAAAGGAAAAAACGAAACAGAAACAAAAAATAGCTGCAAGAGGTAAATTGATGGAAAATGTGTAAGAGTGGGCATTAAGGTGGGTCGCATTAGCCATTAGAGTACCACCAGTCAGTATGAGCATTACCAGTAAGCCAAACGGAATGAGCTACAATTCAGAAATTTGGAATGAGAGTCACAGATGGATTTCAGGACAAATTTACCAAAGTTTTAGAAATTTGAACTTAAAAGTGACGAAAAGTTCTAAAATGGTACTAAACTTGTATATTGGTACCATTTGCTATTATGTGAACGGCTAAATCCTTTGAAATTTGTACTTAGTGTGCGAACTTTACTAAATGGTACTAAATTTAGAACAGTTTGGTTAAGTGTGAACAGATGA